CTGAAACGTCAGCCTTCCTGCTCCTATGATGCTGCTTGGCCTGCTGTGTTCATCCAGCTCTACACCGTGTTATCTCAGATTCTCCAGCATCTGCAGTTCCTACTATTTCCATTAACAAAAGGCAGTTCTCCTCTCAATTTCCAGAGAAATCCCAAACTAAAAACCAGCAGAAAGGCCCACACCAGTGATTTTCCACCCACCCTCCTGCCCCCGCAACCAGCACCCCATCTTCTGATTACTTAAATTGCTATGGTCTCCGTCTCTTTAAATGGAGATCATCTTTCCTACTGTATTTCTGCACACCCTCCTCTCTGTATGAGATCTCTCTCTCTCTCATTTCTTTCGCTCGCTCTCGCTCTGTCTTCTCACTCTGTCCAAGTCTTGATGGCTGAAGAGCTATGTACACTCAGCATGACTGTTCTTGCTGTTGTTTTCAGGTGTGAACAGGTTATGCTTTCTCTCCAATACACTCCTTTAGCCATAGGTATTCGAATCAGCATTTCACATTTAGCCATGTAGAACCCCCAGCCTCACTCACATTAAATCAGGAATGATGTTGAATATAAATGAGCCCACTGTCTTGCATTACTCCTTTTCCTTCCAATCTCTGTCATCTGCCCCTTTTTATATGTTGAGTACCCCCTTTACAATTATTATCTCCTCTGCCTCCCACCACAGTTGAGTTCCCCATCTTCCCTCCCACAGCAATAGTGGGTTCAGTGGACAGACCCACAGAGCTGACCATGGCCCACACCTTTAATCAACTTGTACTGACTGCCCTGATTCCGTGGGCTAACTGGACCCCTGACTGACCTGTGTGTAATTCCCTGACTGACTTACCATGAATCCCTGTACTGGTTGCACTGGACCCTCAGGGCTGACCGTGACCCGTACCCTGGGCTGTAGTGGCATGGACCCTCTGAATATGACAGCCCCAAGCAGCCAAATGACCATACCTAAGCTCCTGGACAGTTATCGAAGACTAACCTTGATTTACTGTGTCAGGACCTTCTGACTGAAGGGTGTGTACCTCACCTCACTGTTTTGAGATATTGCTATTTGATTGATGTTCATACAATGTGTTCGGCACATATGCAGCTGGCGTATGATGGCACTGATCACCACTGATCAGCATAAAAAATTGCCTGGCTTTGGGTCTGACTAAAAGACAAGTCAGTACAGAGGTACTGTGAGCATTTAAGCTGTGTGTGGAAAATACTTAGAAGTACAGATTCCAGAGCCATACAGCAACCGGGAGGCAGCCCCTCCACAACCGACTGAAGGGTAACAACACCTGCTGTCGCCAGCTCAATAAATGAGCCACAATTATTATAAAGCCACAGCCAAACCATTCCTGTAGAGTGTTTTCTTTAATTGTCCTTCTTTTAGTTTTTAATTTTTCTGTGAGAGTTGCTACATTTTAAGGCATCCTCAAGGCCACCTTTCTGTCTCAGCAGTACCTTACATCCATTGGTCGGACTGCAAGCCAATCAGTGGTCAGGGTCCTCTCAGTGGACCTCCAACCTAGAGGAGTCACTTGCCATCTTTAATCAAACAGTAAAGAGGCAGCCAATTAATTGTCTGCTTTCCTTAAAGTGCTGGAGTAGCCGCCTTGACAACAACAGGAGGCTCAGGAACTGCTCATCACCCTGCTACTGGGTTCCTGACACCCTTGGAAAATTCAGCCTCATAAATTTATTCTTTTTTCTCCAGATGCAGGCAGACTTGCTGAGTACTTCCAGATTAAATTATTATTTCGCTAATTCTCAATTTACTGTTTATGAAATCTTATTTCAGTTTGGCCATGGTGAAGGAGTGGCCTCAATTCAAAACTAATTTGTTGGCTGTTAAGCACTTTGAGACATCCAGAGAATGAATAAAGTGTTGTATAAGCTTAAATTCCTCTTTACCAAGGTTCTGTAACTTTGTTGAGGACTACAAAATGCTCTTTTTCAGTGTGTGCATAACTTTCTATCAACCTGTACAAGCTACATCACAGCAAAAAAATCTCCTTGACTAGTACATTGTGCAAAGTACAGGGCATCAAGTTACAAGGTGCTGATGTTTCTTTATCTCTGTTTACACTGCCACACGAAAGAACATGAGCAGCTGAGAGTTCAACTTATTGTGAATACACAAATTCACATGGTACGCTGAGGCTTGTGAACAGTTGGTGTTTTACTAAAGAAGTAAGGACAGATTAGAGGTCACTCTCTAAGGCCAGATCTAACAGTTTGTAATACACTTGCGTTGAAACACTGAGCAACATTTGCTTGATTGTCACCATAAAAGCTTGCAAATTACCTTATAAAATATTATGGTATTGATGCTTTTTTTTATAGTTGGTGGGTGGATGCATGAATGAATGGCAAATGTGTAATTCAAACAATTTTATGTTGTTTCTATTACTTGCATTGCTTAGTTTAACTAACCACCTAGACCTAGCAGTCAGTTTGACATGGCTCCATTTGATAGACCAGTAATGAATCAGCATATTGATAGGGTATCACTCCAATATTTTGGTTACTTTTTTTCCCTAAAAAAGTCTTTAAAAATTCTTTGTGGTAATATTTCTAGTGTCATCCGTAGCCTATTCATATTAGCACAGGGGATTTTCTGTTGCAGGTTTTCTCATAGCATCTTTCTTAGCTGAAGAGGGGGGCTAGAGAAAGAATGCTAGATTGACCAAGCTGCACCCAGCTGTTGGTGCAGCCATGATGGAATTAGAGACACTCACACAGACTTCTCTGATGAGACTGTCCACAGTGGATTTAATTCACCAGGAAAGCATTCAGAGATATGCCACATGCTGCCATCCGACCTAGAGCTAAAATTCCACAACAGGCCCACAGTGCTGCTAGTTTCTGGACAAGTTAGTCACACTCAATGCAGCAGGATCATTTCAAGCTCTCAGTATTGAATATCAACCAATCAGCTGTGCATAGATGTGTGCAGCAAGTGCGCTTTGTTTACTCAAGCTTCCACATGAACAGCTGATTGAAGCACAGTGGGAGCTTGGTGGTAGTGGGGGTGGCATTGCTGGTTTAGAGAATGGCAAGCTTCACTCCAGAAGTTACACTTGCTTATGTTTGTAGTCTAAGAGCCCACCTGTTAACAGTCATTCATAATATTCAAACGTTAACTTCTCCTGCAAGAGCAGTCAAAGAAAAGTGAGATACCACAAAATCTCTTCCCACATTTTGTTTCTTTGTATTGGTTCTGCATTTTTATGATGCCACTTTGTTTTCAACGCCAAAGTCCCTTCAGAAACTAAACCACTTAACTTGATCTGCAGCAGCCTGGTTATGTCTACTGTTTTTGTTCCAGAAAATTTGAATATTAATGGATTAACATGTCACATTGTACCTAAAGGTCATTTTATTTAATGAGTTCCATGAGGAAGGTACATTAAATTTATCAGTTGATTGTCCTGTGGGTGCAAGTTATACAGTGGCCTATTTGGCTGTTTTTGAAGGGTTATCTGTTTGTGCCTCCAGTTCAATCTTTATGTAAACTACTGAAATTTATCATGAAGTTGCCACTTGGTTATCACTTTCGTGACTTTTTTGGCAACGTACATTTTTCACTTGCAGATACCTTGCAACTCAAATTCAATCTGAAACATATTTGATTTCTTTTTATTTTGAGTGCACCTTCAAATTGGCTGGGTTCATTTGAAAGCAGAAAGGGAGGCTAGAGATTTGAACAAGGGAAAGTTGTAAAGCCATTGTTAATTGATGTTGTTAAATGCAGTTTAGTGCAGTTAAAATGTCCTAAACATTAACAGTGAAATCCTGTTTTCTTTTAAATTTAAAT